GGCAACCTCCAGTGTGGCTTGGGAAAGCTGATGGACACCTCTGCCATCAAGGGCTGTATGAATAATTGACTTCATTGCTTTGGCAATAAAACAAAACCAAGCAAAACGTATGTGTCCATACGCATATAGAAGTTTTGAGTAGAACCAAAAATACTCTTTTTTTCCTTGGCTTTCCCCGCTGAAACAAAAAAGCTGGATTGCCTTGTTCTGTTTGATACAAAATGAAATTCTTTCTTTTGGATACGTGTCCACAGAGCAAAGAAAATGAATGTCTGATTTTATGAAACTGAGTGGGGAGAAGAAAGCAGCATCCTATTTTGTCCAGGAGTGAGGACTAACACAGAAGAGGTAGGAGACCAAGAGAAGAGTTGAAGTGGAGTATCAGATCTCCCAGCATAATACACTGACTACCAGACTATCTGGTATTTTAGGTTGCCATGTTCCTCATGCCTCCTGTTGATCTTATTCCACCTGGTTTAGATAAATATTTACTCATACCAGGACTGAGGCACCGTGTTCCCATTTTCCAGGTGAAAGTCCTAACAACCATGCTGGTGAGCCTTTCTCATGGAAACCCTGTCCCAGTGTCTAGGAAATTATTCTATACCAACTGAAATCTTATCATCGGATAGCCTGAAGGATCCCTGGCCATTCAACTTTCTAACATCCAGGTGGTTAGGAGATTTTTTTTAAGAGGCTGAGTTTCTGGGTTCACCCAGACTCTGGGAGATACTGTACGGAGGTTGATTCCCTGTTGCCTGCATGAATGTCCTACCAATCTGCCGCCTTAAAAGGAGCGAAGAACAACACCTCTAACCATCCCATGAGCCCTCTTCCAAAAACAAAACAAAGCGAATGCAGGAGAAGCTATTCAGTGAATTCAGCCCAGGTTGTCGGGCATTTTGGGGGCATTTTCCTGCTAGCTCACCACCTGCCGAGGACGTTTCAGTCAGCGCTCCCACTTTCCAGCCTACAACACTGAAGAGCCAGTCCTGAACCACTTCTCAAGGTAAACCTCCAAGGGAAGTCAGCGCTAGTTATACCTGCAAGACAACTGTCCTAAGTCATTCTATAGTGTATGATTATGGTCCTTCTGAAAATGCTCCAAACTGGAGGCAAAGGGCGCGAGTAGAGTCTTCTGAAAGAAGAGCTCCCCTAGTGCTGCTGTGCCTTTACTGACATCAGCCCTGGCTCATGGAGCCTCCATGTTCTCCCATAAAAAGCAGATTTTACAGCAGTTTTCATACTGCCTTTTATCCTAATAAGGGAATAAAGTCCTTCTGGTAATCACACCGGTGGAGCCCCTGCATGGAAATGGATGGGTGTGTACTACAGACCGTGCCCTTCGCTTAGCAAATTATTCTGTGTAGCTTTTCTCTGTACAGTTTCAGCAGCATCAAAGGGAGAGCAGGTATGGATGCAGATGCAGGCTGTCTGAAACCTTCAAATCTTCTTTTTATGGGGATGTAAGGCAACTTCATATATCATGCAGCTGGACCTTTTCCATATTAGTAACGCAGGACACCCAGTACTTATACTGCTTAGGAAAACAGAAATAGGCCTAAATCCTAGATCCAGATGTGAATTTGGCAAATAGCCCCTTTACAATGGGACAACAAAATATCTCCCATCCAAACACTTCTACATCTTGGGATGTTTGAAATCAACTTTGCACCCACAGCAATTCATTAATCATATATTTTAAATGTTTAAACTTCAGCTAGAACATAAAATCAACATTTAAGGTTCTTGCTAATTTGTCTCAAAATTGGCGTCATATAAGATTCCCTTCATGAAATGGATAGTCTCAAAGACATTTCCAAGAGTAATTGCTGCCCTTCTCTTTTTCTGCCCTCCCCTCTTTATTTTGCTTTAAAAGAGATAAAGAAAGGTAGGGCAAAAATTGAGTATTACTGACACAAATGAATTCTGCTGAATTTCATTTCCATTAGATTTCTACATAACTGGGAACTCTTTTGGCAGCCTCCCATAAAAAGCATAACAAATTGCTTTTGTACCAGTAGAGGAATTCATTTTCTCTGTTTCATTTAGCAACAACATTGCTGTGAATTTCAGACAACAGTTTCTAAAACGTCATCAGATTTCTCTGCCTAATGTCAATTTGGCATTTTTCCCCTCTTCACAGAATAAGGGCTGGAGAAGTAAAACCAGAGCAAAACAAAAACAAGTTGCCACGCTGGTTGTGTAACACGCGGGGAATGAGCCAGGTTCGCTCTTCCAGCAGGTGCCCCTGTTTCGGCAACGTCACCAGCACCGCTGGCAGGAATCGACACCATTCTCACTAATGTGACCGAAGATTACAGAGAGCCTGGATTCATCCATCTGAGGGGTTTTCTCCCTCCTGACACAGCCTGGAGAAGTTTATTCTCCTTGTGCAAAGCCATTGCCTATCTAAGAATAAATACAAGCCTTCGGGCTATCGATGAAAAAAGAAATCAAGAAAAATAGAAGTCTAGTGGAGTATCTTTGCTTTGGCATGTGATCAGATTACAGGCTGCCTTGCTCTAAAACGCTGACATCCCTTCACTCCTGACAACTTCAATGGCCCTTATGAGCGCTCAGCCCCTCCCGCGGGATTTAGGCCCATAAGAAGTTATTTCACTTCCTCCGCAGCTAGTGCTCATTGTTCCCAAATGATGTCTGGGGCAACGGGAGCCAGGCTTAACAGCCAGCACTTTCTATTTTCAACCTCCTGTCTCCCCTGTTCTCATCCCATTGAATTGCTGGTGCTTGGGCAAAGTCAGGAGCCCAAGAGAAGGATGTGGCCATACCCACACCATGCCCTGACAACAGCTCCTCTGCAAATCCCATCCTCATTTACGTACATTTGGGCCTGGGGTGCATGGGTGGGAGATCACTGGCCCCTCACGTAAGGCAGGGGGAGTCAAGGGGATGCCCATATGTCTGGTTGCTGCTTCAGTGCATTTCACAGCCTCCCTCCATCGCTTCCTTTTATTGAAATTTTTCACGAGAGGTAATTTACAAGTGCTTTGCATATGCAGTGCACATCTGATCGAAACACAGTGGGGAAAAGGCTGTGCAGATGTTACTGTGCTGCCTGCTGGATACAAGGGGATAGATTTCCCCAGTCCGCGTGCGTGTGTCCTCTTCCCAGCCCGATCTACTACAGAAAAATCAGGGAGAACTGAAGTCCTGGCACTGGGGGATGCCGTTGTGTAATTAAGAGCAGCCGCAGGTTCCCTGGGAGTTGCTCTGAGTCGCTAACAGCTCTCAGCTAGCCTTTTGGCTCACAAATCGTGCCCCCACCCCGCTCTCCTCTGGCACCCACGCAACACCACCTGGCAAGATTATGTTACAAATGGTACTATTAAAATGATAACATAAAGGTTATTAAGAACAGGTTTGATACGCTCTCCTAGGGAGAAGGGCTACAGAAAGGAAGGCAGGCTGTAGCCAGCCAAGGAAGCGTCGGCACAGGGGACGCGGGATCGCGTCTCTACGGCCTCTCCTTCCCCGAGCAGCACGCAGCTGCGCTGCCTGCAGCCTACACTGCTGCCTCGGCCTCAGCTGCGATCGCGCTTCTAATTCTGTCCATTATATAAATCCCACCACATTCCTCAGATCGGGAGCCCTGCTTCAGGCAATCAAAGGAAAATTTAAGGAAAATTTGGCTGCATTTCTTCCATTGCAAATATTAGAGGAGAGCCTAAACCAGTGCCTAGTAGTTCACTGGGGGGAGCCTGAAACCCTGTAACAGTTCACTTTTTGGTTAGTGTTTCTCTCTTTTTGATGGGATCTGTTTATTTTTCGGACTGACAGGGTTTTCTCATGTCCAAGACAAGCCCTTTTAGTAATGTCCTTGTCTGGCAGCATCCGAACCCAAAACCCAGTGCCTCTGAAACTGGGTGGCCCTGTCAGTCCGCAAACAATCTCATTTGCTAAAACCGGGTTTTTTCCTCCCCTTGTACAATGAAACTTTGTACGTCGGGAATTAAACTATTGAAAGGAATTTGGATGTGGGAATGCTGAGACATATTGAAAAATAGTTATTATAAACAATGTCTTCTTTTTATTAATAAAGAGGTAGAGAAAGCCACATTAGGAAAACTTTTCAAAGAAATGATGTGGCAGATTAAAGGATACAGAAGGCCCGAGGAGTGAGTGCGGATAGGGATATGTATAGCCAAGAGGTTAGAAATTAATCTACATTAAGCTTTGCAACTGTAGTGGTAGTATTTGTTATCACACATGCTAACTGAGTGAAGAAAGGAAGTTTGAGACGATTTGAGTACATGATGTAAAATAAGGATCAAAACTAAAGCAAGGGATGATCAGCGCTCCTCTGGTGCTCCTCTGGAGCTCGGTGCTGCCAGATGCTGAGCATCTGGCCCCTGAAGAGCCCTGTGCGAGGAGAGGGCTGATCCCCTACGGACTGCAATCAGCGGGGCTCCCTCCCCAGCCTGGTTTCAGTTGGGTCTGGATCAGGATTTAAGTGCACGCCTTAGTTCAAAACAAAAAGCCTTTATGTTTCCCTCCGTACAGCAAGACAACGTTTTGCTGGGGTTTACGACTCATTTGGGATAACGCATACAAATGTATAGGTATATTAAACAGCTTTTGGAAAACGTGAGAGCATCAGTGCCTTGAATTATAAATTCAGAAAAAAAGGGATACATGCACAATTGTTTCTTGAAAGGATCAATTGGGCATGATTTATTGCCTTTGGTCCAGAAGAAAACCTTTGAAATAGAAGAACCTGAACATTTCAAAACAAAATGTCTGGGGTTGACTTAATCATAAAAATTATATAGATCTTAATTAAGAGGTTTGTAAAGTACTTCAGCTTGTCATTGTGTTTACAGCTATATGTAATATCCTCCGAAAATCTTGTTCCAGTATCAGCTAACAAAACTGGAAAGTTTGTTTAGATTATTGTTCTGCTAGATAAGATAAAAGCTGCGATAACATTGCACAGTGACCAGCCTGCTTACAGACACGGACACCGGCTTATGGCTTACCCCGGAGGCTGCAGTCTGTGTGCTGGGAGAAGCGGTTTTGCTACAGTCATCTGAGTTAGTAGAAGACGTGGATGTTGGAGTCATAGGAACCGCAGTAGTACTGTTACCTGAAAGATTGAGAACTGGTATTAAAAACAAATATTTTCCAGCCAGGGGAAAAAAAACTCTTGCAGCTCAACTGTCTTATCTTTTTATATTTACCAGAGCATGCCTTTGACTTATTTATGTTCTTAGGTTTTCGCTTCCTGGTCTGAATTCCTTCTTTTTTCATAGCAAGAGGTCGGGGAACCTGAAAAAAATTAAATTCCCACAACGATCATAGAGTTGTGTAAGTACTGTAATACCAAAAATCAAACTACAATACAAGATCAAACGGTGATGTTGAAAATGCCTGTTGAAGTCATATATAGCAAGTCAATTTTTCCTGTGTCATGACAGCAATTAAAAAAAACCTTTGCAATTTATTTGGGCAAAGCAATGAATTGTTTCAAGAGGAGTTTTGTCTGAATAAAGAAAGCGGGGAAACATTTTTCTTGATGTGGCCTAAACAGTTTTACCAACACCTCGGTCAGTCCATAGATAAACAGCACACTTTTAGGGAAAACCAGCATTGTTTGGCCATAGGTCGTATCAAATTAAATTGGTCAGGGTGTATCTGATCCCTGGCTCCTTATTCCAGTCGGTCAGTTGGGAATTACCTCCCGTGGATGATTCTGGACAGCAAGAATGCGTATGAGGGGAAAAAATCCTCCTCTTCCCATGGACCAGCTATGCAAACCAGATCATCGTCGGTAAGTGTCTTAGGACAGAAGCTTTAGGCCATAATCAGTTTAGCATTTGTTCTTATAAACAGTTCTGCTCGTGATACAGCTTTATAGTATCCACACTTATAGGGAAAATGTGCTCGAAAATCAGCTTTGTGTTCTGTGTCATCACAATGATAATCATTATACAGAAAACATTGGTTTAAAATATATTTTAATGTAATGATAACACGAGTTTGGGAAAAGACAACTCAGGCATATGCTTACTATCATTATAATGTTTAAACCTGTGATATAATTTACTTTTTCCTTGAGGACTAGACCAAGTCCCAGTCATTCCTAATGCCCTCGCTCTTCAAACACTTGTGCTTGACTGTAACTTAATCCACAGGGGCATAACTGGCTCCAAGTCTCACCCAAAACATACGCCAGCACATTCAGGATAGAGCTATTTTCTTCCTCTATTATTACCTAGCAAAGGCTGGAATGACATTTAAAGTGTTGCTGGCATAGCTATGTCTGTCCGTGAAAAACTGGCTTATTAAAGGTTTAGGGTTTGTGGTTTTTTCCCCCCACTAAAGAGGTGGTTTAAATCCCGGTGGCAAAAAGACCTCTGCCACTCAGCCAGAGGTGGTTTCTTTGTACAACTCTGTCGGGAGAGCTACAATGGCAAACACATAACTTGTCAAAAGCATAACTTGCTAAGACGGTATAACCATTTTTTAATGCCGGGCATTTTTCGGTCATTTTAACCATTTTTTTTTTTTTAATTCGGTCATTTTAACTATTTTTTTTTAACTCCACAGTCCAAACTGTGAGCCGAGACCATTAGCATCAACAGAAACATTGCCCCGACTTGA